ATTCTCATTTAAGGATGATATTCAACATACAAGATGATTGATTGATTATCATTAATTTTGTATTTTTCATTACTTTCCTCCGCCTAGCTACTGTGATACTTACATAAATTTGGTTAATTTTAGACCATAACAAAAGGGGAGAATAATAATAATAATAAAAAATATATAGTATATAATTGTACTTGCAAAATGGGACACAAAACAAGGTTTTTATTTCTTTTTTTTTCATTTATGGCTTCATTTTTACTCGACTCACAGTGATTTAGTCCATCAAGGCCAATCTTCTCACTTTAAAAGGCTTCCAGTTATTATCCCAACCATTACCTTTACTGTCAAATCTGGTAAATCCAGAAAAAATGCACAATATGGACAAAATATATCTCAATTCAGAGCTGTAAGATTTGTATCAGAGTACCAAGTATACCAGAGACATATTACTGATAATTTGACACAAACAATTTAATTTTTGATGTACAATTGATAAGTTATCACAAAGCTTGTTCTAGCTGTACACAAAACCTCTGGTAGATATTTTGTTTGTATATTTATTTGTTTGTTTGTTGTTTTGTCACCTGTTGTATTCAGATCATCTAAGCATAATACATATTGTATATATTTTACATTTTGTCTGTAACATCATGTATCATGATAATGACTATATAAAGACCACAGTCGTTGTGGTTTCGTTTGATCTGTATTAGACTAAAATGGTTGGTGCTCAAGTAAGTTGATCCAGTAAAGATGTGTTAAAATCATGGATTATTAACATCAGAAATTTAGTATTTGCCAGATAGATATAATTTATCACGAGTTGATAAGATAAGTTTAAACAAAAACCAGTTAGCAGAAACAAAAAAAAGGTTTGAACAGAAGTATTTTATCTTAGAATATACATGTATATATAACATACACTAAAGATGTTTGTAACTAAATAATTTATTTGAAAATATGAGATGGTGAAATCTCATAGTATTGTTCTGGCTAATATGCAGAGATGTATAATTTCTTTTGTTTTGGAAATATCACTGGAACTAAATTAAAAGAATACAAATATAAGTTAAAAATGTCGCACATTAGTTATAATGAGGCTCAGAAGACCCATACTAACCTCGTATAAAATGCTATCATATGCTGTATAACTCGACAAGTACTGTTAAATGATAATGTATGCTATTTTCAATATATGTGATATTTAATGCACATTCCTTGGAAATTGTGTAATGGTTGTATTTCAGATGTGAAAATACGGCTGTTTAAGTCATTATTAGCCCTTGCTCCCCCAAAAAAATCTCAGACTTGAGCTATTGGAACTACAGAACATAGACCTTATCATTTTTCCTGAGTTTTCTCGACCAAAATTTCATTTTTGGAGCTGTGTCTTATGATGGAAGAGATGATATCTCTGCAATATTATAACTATAGCAAATCTCTTCTGCACATCAATTACCAAATTTTTGTTTATTTCAAATTTTCTTGATTTTATGCAGATGTATGGTCATATATCTGTTAGTAAGTAATTAAAAGTGCAAAGAACTTTTGTAAATGGCATCGTCAAATTATCAATAATATTTTATTTCTATTCACACGGTTGATTTCTAGCTAGACAGATATAAATTTTCTATTAGTGTTATCTGGAAAAAGTTCAAAGAGATGAATTTATGAACAAAGCTTTAGAGACTTATTAAGTTTGAAAAATGTGAAGTGTTTACAAAAGCAAGACTGAAGTTATTTATCATTTGTTATGAAGATAAAGTTATTGTTTGTACAATTAAGGTTTACCTATATTCTAGACTACAATATATATTAATATTAGCTTTGAAGAGATATTCTATCTTATGATTAAAGACTAAGAAATCATTTGAAAATATTTCATAAAAAGTTATGTTAACCCGGTTCAATTGTTTAAGGAATATTTTTTAAGAATGGACAGTGGAGAGACATGGTAAGGGGAGATAACTCTAAATACAGTTGCAGTTATAAGATTTGAGGGGCAGCTTTATTCTATAACAGATACATTACCCGGTACATTTAAGTTTGGTATCCCAGTGATCTTTCTACAAAGTCTAAAAAAAAAAAATCATTCTCAAAATTTGACACACCATTGGAGCCAGGCCGTTGGTATAAATTTCATAATGGGCCTTTTGGATCATTAAGACAATAGCAGGTTTGCGATGAGGCGCATACAATGTAACATACAATGTATAGTCGATTCTCTTGTATTTGTCTGGATTGTAGTGGACATTACATTATTTTAACAAGAAATTGTTTTAGTACTAATTTGCTAGGAGACTGATTTGAGAATTTATTCCATAGATTAATCACGGTATTGAGATTGCAGTCTCTTTGTTTCTAAGTGCTTTAGATTTTCATCAAAAGACATTTTTGCTGATGTGATTCTCACCTCACAATATGTAAAAACATATGTATGTCTCATCTTTAATGCATCTTAAGGAGTTTTTGTATAATCTATGAATCTGTACGATTGTCTCTTCTTAAATTGATACAAAATGAAATGTGTTGAAATTCAAGTTTCTGGCGTTATATCAAAATGGTATGTTATAGTTTCTTTACTATCACATATTATATGTGCGGGTATTTTTTTTCATGAAAATATACCAGATACATAATAATCGTTTTATTGAATGATATTTTTTATTATTATTTTTTCAATATTTGTGCTCTGAACACAACATGTGAATTCTGAAATGTATCGTCCTCACAATTTTGCATTGCAGATATATGGACGATTTTCCGCAGGATTTCACATCCTGGCAAATATGTTATGGATGGTAGCTAGTTTTCTAATGATTATTATACTTATTTTTATCTGTAAAGATGTACTACAAAGTAATTATATATGAATTTTTAGCGTGTTAATTTTCGTGTGTACGTGGGTTTTTTTCCCTTTACTGTACGTCTGGTCAAACAGCGTCTTCAAAATCCAAGGGTTCTGCTCCCGATATCCATATCTTATCTGCACCATTAGAATGTCACGACAAAATTGAAGACTTTTTACGCGAAACGTAATGCTTGATACACGTAATGCTTGATACAAGTACACTTGTCTGATGTCTTTAATGAATATGGGTGGAATCGTGTGGCAGCGAAAGGATAAAATCAACAGGCTTTGAAGTTGGAAATAGTTTGCTGAAATCTTCAAAGGACAGGTATCAACCTAGTGATTTTCTCCAGCACTTGAAACCAGTCAAACAGCTGTCCGGGAGCCTTCCATTTTGTTATGACTTACTGGAGAGGTACAGAAAAGATAGGTGTATCTGGGAAGGAACCCTTAATGGATTTAAAATAAGGTCAAACAGTGGTACATTTACTCTTCTCACAAATAGCTTTTAATCGCCACATAAATGAAAAGAGAGAAAAAAAAATCAAATAACATGTTTTTTGGGATATACCGGTACGTGATATAAATCACATGTTTGAGAGTGTTTGTGAATTATTGGATTTTTTTATAATTTGGAGTGTCACCGTATCAGTTTGATTTCTGTCTGCCTGTGGAAGGGTGGGGTATTGGTCTACAGCGTGGATTGTGTTTGTCCTTTACAGATGGGTGAACTGTTTATGATCTAAGCTCATTCACTTGGCGTATACCTAAAATACAAGTCAATGTCGTTAGAAGTGGGTGCATACTTTAACATGTATTATACCTCTCTGTTTATACTGTTAGTGGAATGATGCTTATTGCAATATCGAATTTTGACAGCCCTTTATTTATTTATTTTCGCAATATCTTCAAAATATTTGTTTTTATGAAGGATTTAAAGCCAATATATATTATAATAATAATATACATAATATACAATATTTGATATAGCGCCCTATCTAGCTAACATAAGCCACTCTAAAGCGCTTTACAGTACATAGGTATACAATTAATACAATTAGCATAAACATTAATTAATTCAATTTTGAGGATTTCGCAGGAGCTGCCTTATCAGGCGCTAACTACTAGCCCTATGCCACCTGGCTAATATCTCCCTATGTGTGTATGCCTGCGTGTGTGCTGGAGATGTATTGTGTTCTGTTTTGTAGTGGGACCGTGCTTCCAACCGCATCTTTTATAGTGCCACCTCACTTGAATGCTACAGCACAGATACTGCAACATCCACCCCAGATGATTTTATACTCCACCTGGGTTGTTGGAGTTGATTTTTCTGATATAATTATGTAGATTATTATTTACATTTTAAGATAAATTGTCTAGTATACATGTACGATCAATACTTAACAGTCTGCTATCATTTTTTTCTGGTAGATATTTTTTTACAATGTAATGGCCTCAGATAGGAGCGTATAGGTAGAATATCACATATACTGGTTGTAGAGCTAGAGGAACGGGCGTATTGTTATACAAATAGAAATTACAAATAAACTCGCATTGAGTTGTTACATACACTTTCAGTTCTGTTATCCTACTCTGTACGCCTAGCTAACTCGTCCTTCCTGACGTATCAGTAAGTTTTAAACAAGCTTAATGTGTTAAAAACAAAAATTATATCTGATTAAATGGAAATATCTTAATGTGGTTGAGATCATTTCCTGTGATGTACAGATACGTTATTATTATCATCTTGTATAAAATTACTGACGTTTTCGTCGGAACTGAAACTCAACTGCTTGGGATACCCATGAATGGTTACATTATACAAGGATGAAGGAGTGAAACCATTGTTGGGTCCCTGAAGGTCACTGATGTAAACCCTTTTAGACCCTTTACATTACATGAATCATGAATATGAAATCTCCGCACCATTACCAAGACCCGTTTACATGATGACGCCACACTTCAATACTCCCATGCATGCTATACCATGCCGATCTAGTTCTGGGCCTCGTTCCCGCTGAATACCGCAGTCCTTTCCCGTCTGTTCCTGTCCTTTCCCGTCTTGTCCTGTCTTCTACAGAGTGACTTGTTTGCCATTGTAGTCCTATATTTATACATTTGTTGAAATACTAAATTGCTAATAAATGGATGAACGAGCAAATTGTTGTTTCTCTTTTTATTGGTCTTTAATTATGATTAATAATAGTTTTTCTCTCATTTCCCCGTGTGTAAGATGGAGCTGTCTGAAAAGCTTGGGGGTGGTGATTGATATTTTCAAAATGGTAGCCAGTATAAACGCATTTGTCATGGTTTCCGAGCTTGTTCTGGTGGTTGGAATGAGAGAAAAATACCCTTTCATGCCCAAGGGTATAGTATAGGGAAATTCCACCCTCCGGATTTTCAAATTTGGCAAAAGCCTGGGTTTTTTACCAAATTTGAAAACCCCTCTGGTTGATTTTCTTTATCCTACAACCCTGTGCATGAAAGAGTTCTATAATATTGAGATATATATATTTATTTTGTCAATAGTTGATGATGGTATAAAATAAACATGAAAATGTCAACTGATGTCCCTCCTACAGTTTGTCTTCATCCCATTTAAGTCAGTCGTATTTGATCCTTTCTCTGGCGCTGTATATCACAACGAGCCAACAAGTATGGAGTTTCAAACTTGGATATCTGAGTTCGACCAGGATTCCAATTTTCATGCGACTATCAGGTACATTCCATTAGTATTTGAAAGAAATAAATATGTACAGGGTACTTTCTTGTGTGATGTAAGCTTGAAAGGGATAAATGTAAGATGGAGAAAGCATGATAATTAAGGATATCTATGGAGTGTTATCACGAACGTATGATGTCGTCTCTATTAATTGCGGTAAGGATGACGTTTGCTGCAGATGTCTAGCGAGGAAGACATCTGCTTTTTATTGCAGTTATGATCACGTCAGATGCTTAATTATGATCGTAAGAATAACGTCTGCTATAGATGTGTATGGCGGTAACGCTAATGTCTATTGCACATATCTCCGGGTGTACTTATGGCGGTTTTAAGGATGTCGTCTGCTGAGTTTTTGTGGTAAGCCTCGTTAACGTTTCTGCTGTAAGAGTCTATGGCGGTTAGCTATATAGGATGTCATCTGCTGAGTTTTGGAGGTAAACATGATTTCTGCTGTAAGTGTCTATGGCGTGTTTAAGGCAGTAAGGATGACGGCTATGACGAAAAAGACAACTGGGAACGCGAACAGGAAAACGGCCTTCATCTTTTCCTTAGAGCTCAAAGGCTCAATGTCCTGTAGCTTTTTAACGTGCGAGCCATACACTCCCGCCTGCTCATTGTCCACTGCCACGGAGTCTCTGACACTGTCTCTGGACACTGTAAACACCACCTGCGTCTGAAACTAGAAATACGTTCACCTTATAAATCTCCTCCACCCACTCGTACACAGTTGTAAGTCGTGTAACGACGCTGATAGCTGCCTCTGAAAATTAACAGCGTTAACGTTTTATCACTAAACAATTAACACATTGACCTATGATAAATATTAAAAAGACACCCTTAAAAACGATTGAAACTTATAGTAGTCGATACCAACAGCCAAACAAAGTAAAGATTGCCCTGACGTTTAATTTACACTTCCACAAGTATTTGTGAAAGAAATTACGGCCGTAGAAATTATCGAATAGATGACCTAAGTGGAATGTTATACAGCCTTGATTTACAACAAAACTCTCAACATAGCTTGACTAGTATCGTATTAATAAATGTCGCCTAATCATAACGATTTTGGAAAATGTATTTCTGAAAATAATAATGAATAACAGAATAGGATTTTTTTAATCAGTACAACAAATATTTTATCATTTCTTGTTGCATTTACAAAGTAATTGCACAATTGAAATTGGATTTGGAATCAACTTTTACAACATATAAATGTTAATGCGTTAAAAGTTTTGGACTTTTCCTTCTAGCGAGCTTAAAGTGTAGTCAAAGCGTTTATATCAACTTCCGCGGATTTAGATTGCTATCTTAAGTCTATAGTACCACGGATTTAGATTGCTATCTAAGTCTATGGTACTAACACGGATTTAGATTGCTATCTAAGTCTATGGTACTACCACTAATTTAGATTGCTATCTAAGTCTATGGTACTACCCCGGATTTAGATTGCTATCTAAGTCTATGGTACTACCACTAATTTAGATTGCTATCTAAGTCTATGGTACTACCACTAATTTAGATTGCTATCTAAGTCTATGGTACTACCGCGGATTTAGATTGCTATCTTAAGTCTATAGTACCACAGATTTAGATTGCTATCTAAGTCTATGGTACTACCCCGGATTTAGATTGCTATCTAAGTCTATGGTACTACCGCGGATTTAGATTGCTATCTTAAGTCTATAGTACCACGGATTTAGATTGATATCTAAGTCTATGGTACTACCACGAATTTAGATTGCTCTCTAAGTCTATGGTACTACCACGGATTTAGATTGCTATCTAAGCCTGTGGTACTAACACGGATTTAGATTGCTATCTAAGTCTATGGTACTACCACGGATTTAGATTGCTATCTAAGTCTATGGTACTACCACGGATTTAGATTGCTATCTAAGTCTATGGTACTACCACGGATTTAGATTGCTATCTTAAGTCTATAGTACCACGGATTTAGATTGCTATCTTAAGTCTATAGTACCACGGATTTAGATTGCTATCTAAGTCTATGGTACTACCACGGATTTAGATTGCTATCTTAAGTCTAAAGTACCACGGATTTAGATTGCTATTTAAGTCTGTGGTACTACCACGGATTTAGATTGCTATCTAAGTCTATGGTACTACCACGGATTTAGATTGCTATCTAAGTCTATGGTACTACCACGGATTTAGATTGCTATCTAAGTCTATGGTACTACCACGGATTTAGATTGCTATCTAAGTCTATGGTACTACCACGGATTTAGATTGCTATCTAAGTCTATGGTACTACCACGGATTTAGATTGCTATCTAAGTCTATGGTACTACCACGGATTTAGATTGCTATCTAAGTCTATGGTACTACCACGGATTTAGATTGCTATCTAAGTCTATGGTACTACCACGGATTTAGATTGCTATCTAAGTCTATGGTACTACCACGGATTTAGATTGCTATCTAAGTCTATGGTACTACCACGGATTTAGATTGCTATCTAAGTCTATGGTACTACCACGGATTTAGATTGCTATCTAAGTCTATGGTACTACCACGGATTTAGATTGCTATCTAAGTCTATGGTACTACCACGGATTTAGATTGCTATCTAAGTCTATGGTACTACCACGGATTTAGATTGCTATCTAAGTCTATGGTACTACCACGGATTTAGATTGCTATCTAAGTCTATGGTACTACCACGGATTTAGATTGCTATCTAAGTCTATGGTACTACCACGGATTTAGATTGCTATCTAAGTCTATGGTACTACCACGGATTTAGATTGCTATCTAAGTCTATGGTACTACCACGGATTTAGATTGCTATCTAAGTCTATGGTACTACCACGGATTTAGATTGCTATCTAAGTCTATGGTACTACCACGGATTTAGATTGCTATCTAAGTCTATGGTACTACCACGGATTTAGATTGCTATCTAAGTCTATGGTACTACCACGGATTTAGATTGCTATCTAAGTCTATGGTACTACCACGGATTTAGATTGCTATCTAAGTCTATGGTACTACCACGGATTTAGATTGCTATCTAAGTCTATGGTACTACCACGGATTTAGATTGCTATCTAAGTCTATGGTACTACCACGGATTTAGATTGCTATCTAAGTCTATGGTACTACCACGGATTTAGATTGCTATCTAAGTCTATGGTACTACCACGGATTTAGATTGCTATCTAAGTCTATGGTACTACCACGGATTTAGATTGCTATCTAAGTCTATGGTACTACCACGGATTTAGATTGCTATCTAAGTCTATGGTACTACCACGGATTTAGATTGCTATCTAAGTCTATGGTACTACCACGGATTTAGATTGCTATCTAAGTCTATGGTACTACCACGGATTTAGATTGCTATCTAAGTCTGTTGTACTACCACGGATTTAGATTGCTATATAAGTCTATGGTACTACCACGGATTTAGATTGCTATCTAAGTCTGTGGTACTACCACGGGTTTAGATTGCTATCTAAGTCTCTGGTACTACCACGGATTTAGATTGCTATCTAAGTATATGGTACTACCACGGATTTAGATTTTTATCTAAGTATATGGTACTACCACGGATTTAGATTGTTATCTAAGTATATGGTACTACCACGGATTTAGATTTTTATCTAAGTATATGGTACTACCACGGATTTAGATTGCTATCTAAGTCTATGGTACTACCGCGGATTTAGATTGCTATCTAAGTCTGTGGTACTACCACGGGTTTAGATTGCTATCTAAGTCTATGGTACTACCACGGATTAAGATTGCTATCTGAGTCTATGGTACTACCACGGATTTAGATTGCTATCTAAGTCTATGGTACTACTACGGATTTAGATTGCTGTCTAAGTACTAGTCTATGGTACTACCACAGATTAAGATTGCTATCTGAGTCTATGGTACTACCACGGATTTAGATTGCTGTCTAAGTCCTAGTCTATGGTACTACCACAGATTTAGATTGCTATCTAAGTCTGTGGTACTAACACGGATTTAGATTGCTATCTGAGTCTATGGTTCTACCACGGATTTAGATTGCTATCTAAGTCTATGGTACTACCACAGATTTAGATTGCTATCTAAGTATATGGTACTACTGATAACTGCAAGTACAAGGTTTAGGTGCAGCCGGAGGGGGTTCGCGACACCACGGACTTAAATAGCAGGGATCTAATCAAAGTCCGGGTTGACACTGAATTATAAACTTACAAATATGGCACATGACTGCATGACTTCCTGTTAGCCAGAGGGTGTCCTTACGTGGGAAAATACTTTGTTGTTGTTTTCTTTGGCGGGGGTTTACTGATTTTTTTTTATATCTACATTTTGTTTTGTATACCACAACTATATTGAATGGAATTCTTTATAAAAGTCCAGCTATATGATGAAGTGTACCTTACACGTGTCTTTTTACGCTTTTTTAACATTTAGCTGTCCAACTATTAACATCAGTGGATGTTCGAAAACTACTCGTTCAATGTACACATGATTATAGTCCCAGTGGTATGACATGTAGCGTACGTTCGGTGTATAAACTAGACTTTAAACCACTTTCCCCTACCGTGTGTACATTATATGCACTACATACACGTATCTATTGACGCTTTACATACATAATCGTGTGTATACATTCCATATAACTACATTTTCATAACTTACTTCTGGTCTGGTCGTCGCCATTTTGGACTGACGGTTGATTTTTACCTCTTTACTTTACCCAGGTGTGGCAGGTTTGTTTACCTGTACATGTACAACAGGTAGATATTTACATAAAGCCACGCTCTAGTTATACACCACTTCGGGCGAACTAAAGAAGAGTACTAGATGTTTGTGATTGTCGAACCCACGTCTCTAGTACCATGTCTCACCAATACACCAAAGCTTACCTGTATTCATCGTCAAGGTTCAGCAAACTCAGGGGACATCAACTTAAATTGTTCCCACTTAAATAAAAACTCCCGTTCCTGAAATGAAATGTAGCATACATTATGATATAGTATCCATGTCTACGGCTTGAGTTTTCACCACGTAATTCCACCCATAAACCTTTATAAAAACAAAGTTTTTCTGATGAACAAAATACAAAGGAATATAATCGATTGTGGTGTAATATATATATACTGTACTGTGACAAATTATGATACATTATTGTGACATATACTACCTAAGACATGCTATATTACATCAACCATATACAGTTTTAAGACATATATTACAGTGTGAAATTGTAAAAAATAGAAACAAATTCAAATGGACCTTTTTATTATTTTTTAGAACATTATACATCTCAATCTTATTTAACTGTTTCATTATATTTTATAATGTCAAATTGTTTCAAAGAAATTGCTATTATTTACAACTTAATTATAACTAACGTCTACCTGACAATATTTCGTTCTGGTCAAATCTCAATCGCATCAATCATGTTCAACTCAATTAAATACAACTCTATTCTCTTTCTCAATACAACGTATAGAGAAATATCTTTACAATATAATATATAGTAATTGTAGTGTTCGTAGTCGGTAGTACACAGTACTGTTTCATAATAAATCAAGGAGGACAAATGTTGTTATTAATTATTCTGATAAAAGTACAAAGTGTCTTCAGTGTTTTTATATTAGTAGTATTCATTAATTCATAGAACTGAATTGCATTTGGTCTCGTCCAAAAATATTTATCTATATATAAAACTCTATGCACAGACAGTGCGGACACTCAGACAAGTAATGGAATCTGTCACCAATTTGCTGACTGTTGTAAGTAATGGAATCTGTCACCAATTTGCTGACTGTTGTATAATTACAGTGTGGACATTTTCTTTCATTATAATCAATACCATACCATCTGCTGGTTTCAACAATAAATTTGTGATTGGTAGTCCTTTTACATGTCAGATGTTGTTGTTTATCATTACTGTATATTATTATCTTCCTGTTTACTCTAAGCTAGCGATACAAATACCTGCACCGGTGAAGTCGAATAAGACGTATAAGCTTTAGGCAATCTGACATCTTCTACATAGATACAGTTTTATGTGATGTTCTAAAATTAGTGACACGTGCTACACCCAGAAACGTGGACACCTATCTTATGTATAAATTGAAGTATATGAATTGTAAGAAAAGATATTCGACCGAGTCAGGTTTCCGACTGGAGAGGTTCCGCTCAAATTACCAGTGTACTCCCCAGGAAAATTCATAGGTATTATTTGTATAAATTCCACTTTGTTATATTGTGCTTATCAATCGGAGGACTTATTGAATACAATATCATCAATTGGAACAAAGCATTATTTCTCCGTGTCATCATTCCGACTTCGATTAAACAATCCAAAACAATCGTAACACCATGGTAAAATCTTCCGTTTGCTGCTATGACGACGAGATTGGTCTATGGTAAATAGCTGATGGACACCCTGGTAAAATCTTCCGTTTGCTGCTATGACGACATTGGTCGATGGTAAATAGCTGATGAACACCACAGAAAACGTCCTCCTTGTTGTTTTTGATGGTTATACAAAAGAGTACGTTCAGAAAATGTCATTTGTAAAACTTGATCGCGTAATAACGTCTCTGTCGTGCCGCCGTCCTCTTGTGATAATAAGACACGAGAAAGTGTACACATTTAATCCAAAAAAAAAATGCTTACTAGTATATATTCTACTAAATAGCTGTTTTGTATTAAAAACCCTGGATAGGGAAGACTGAGACGCCATCTTTGCCATAGCATAAAATGACGTCACTGGTTGTAAATGGCGGCCAGGATCACCGCCACCGCAAATGAGGCGTGGATGAAGACGAGGAGAGAAATAAAACGGACTTTTTCGTGGAAAGTCAGTGGTTTATCACGACTTTCGAAAGTGTTCCTGTCAGTTCGACTAATATCCGCACTGTTTTTGGTATAAGGTGACATTCCCATCCCATTTTCAGCATTGATACTTCCGGCTGGTGCCTGCAAAATATAACTCAGAATGCTATTTTTTATTATTTCTATTTTAAAATATTGTTGAAACTACGGGATTTTTCATGCAAAATTTACAAAGATAATGCCGTCCTTAAAGGTTTTAAAAGCTTTCAATCGTATGTCTGTTTGGCGGAGAAGGGGTGATTATCAATGTTTGTCTGTTTGGCGGAGAAGGGATGCTAATCACTGTTTCAACCGTATGTCTGTTTGGCGGAGAAGGGGTGATTATCAATGTTTCACCCGTATGTCTGTTTGGCGGAGAAGGGGTGAGTATCAATGTTTCAACCGTATGACTGTTTGGCGGAGAAGGGGTGAGTATCAATGTTTCAACCGTATGTCTGTTTAGCGGAGAAGGGGTGATTATCACTGTTTGTCTGTTTGGCGGAGAAGGGATGATTATCACCGTATGTCTGTTTGGCGGAGAAGCGGTGATTATCAATGTTTGTCTGTTTGGCGGAGAAGGGGTGATTATCACTGTTTGTCTGTTTGGCGGAGAAGCGGTGATTATCACTGTTTGTCTATTTGGCGGAGAAGCGGTGATTATCAATGTTTGTCTGTTTGGCGGAGAAGGGGTGATTATCAATGTTTGTCTGTTTGGCGGAGAAGGGGTGATTATCAATGTTTGTCTGTTTGGCGTAGAAGGGGTGATTATCACTGTTTGTCTGTTTGGCGGAGAAGGGGTGATTATCAATGTTTCAACCGTATGTCTGTTTGGCGGAGAAGGGATGATTATCACCGTATGTCTGTTTGGCGGAGAAGCGGTGATTATCAATGTTTCAACCGTATGTCTGTTTGGCGGAGAAGGGGTGATTATCAATGCTCGACTAATTTTTATTAGATAGTATTTCAGCTCCTATTGTGTCATTCCGGACACTATAAATGAAACTTGGATATGGGAGAATCCTACAGCTGATTGAGACTTTGCTCTCCTGTTATTTTCTAATTACAAATCGAAACTCGCATACTAATGATCTAGAACGTACACATTGTGGAGCGGTCGATGCTAAAACAACATATGTTTTAATTTTAATTTTACCAAATAATGCGTTATACATGCATATCTTAATTAACGAGCATTTGAATATGTATCATAATAGAAATATCATATTCTTTCAAATATGTACATAATCACGGTGCTGTCATCAAATCATCATCAGCGCTCCTATGACCGACATTTAACAGATGGCACTACCATCCAGACACGAACAAAAAAGTTATTGGTATAGCTGCGCAGTGTTATAAGAAGATTATTAACTAACACAGTGTCGTTACCATTAATTACAATACTCACTGAACATTTAACACTTAAGTTATTTCTCCAAGTTGTACTTACACTTTGGTCTGTTGTTTCTGCCATATTTAGCCGAACTACGCACACTGACAAAATATTACGTTTAAATTCAGTGTCACAGCTATCTCCCGGATCGTTATGTGTTTTTTACATTAGATATGCATAGATCTTATTTATACCTGTACTTACCTGTGAATTGAAGCTAAGGTAACACACACCTACATTACGTCGGAGGGCTTATACACATCACGTACGTATGCGTGTTCTTGACGTACATGTACGTACAGTAGGTCTCTGTTCGTTTTATCCGTTTTTATGGTGTATTTCTTATAAGTTTTGGGCCTTGTGGCTCATGAAATATCATAACAATGTATAAATAAAGTATTTACAAATGTTTTCAATAAGAGATGAGATAAACCTATAATATATTGAGTATGCACATGAATGCACAGAAGGCATGATACAAGCATCTAGCATTTCCTGTACAAGGTTATGATATAATTATTCCTTACCTATATAACGCCGTGTTTGATTTGTTTACATAGCTCACATGACAAGGGCAATACATCCTCGTGTTTCTCTCACTTACGCGCTCGAGTTTCCCCTGCCATGCGGAATGACTGAAGCAGACGACAACAATGGCACATCAACTATATCATCGTTAGTATTTATCGCTCGAGTTTACCCGTTCATATGCTGAATTTCCTTCTGAAGGCGGACCAGGAAAATATCACAATTCCAGCTTCAGAATTTGAAAGTTAAGCGATAAAAGAATGAAAAACGTGAATTAAATAAGAATGTTCTAGTATGTTAACTCAGATGTTATATTTTAGGAAATATTTTATGTGTACTATCATCTATGTTTCGGGGTCCGGGGGCCTTAACCCTGACACATCTTCAATCTCAATATAGCTTTATAATTCAATGAAAGTTTACGTCTTTTCCACATTAAAATTCATATTTTTTTAATTACCATAAAACAAAATCTCATGAAAAGATGATTGAACTAAAATAAATTCCAGTAGGATTTTTCTTAAAAATAAGTATAATAACTTGCCGTAGATTTTGTTTTCAGTCCGTGATATATTCGGCGGATTTTCAAGCAAAATTCAGAAGCTCGGAAAGTTTTGTACCCATCTTTGTGCAATATGTAATGAAAATGGACATACTTTTATAACTTCGGGTAGTTTCTTATAAATGAGTATATGACTCTTAAATCGGTTTTATTTGAATTAATAACTATTTTTCTCCAACCACAATAAAAATGAGGGTGATATAATTCTTACAGACGAGCGGAATGAGGCGAAGAACATTATTCTGACGATGAGTTTCTGAACTTCATCGACGGGCGGAAGGAGGAGGAGTTTGTTTCTGGGTCAGGCTTTCAGTTAAAATGTTGACGTTTAAGAACAAAAAGAGTCGATGGAATCCTGGGGAGGGAAGTGCAGACGCTCGACCCTCAAAACATCCACCCATACACTTGTAATCGGGGTGTTCTCTGAGCGCCATATTTAGCAACAATAGACATGTGTTGTTTTGTGAAGCAGTAGCAAGTCGATCGTATGCTGTTTTTATAAAAGCTGCAGTTTCACCCTAATATTCACCTGGAATTTGCCCATGTTTCATAAAAAAATGCTTTCCACGTTTACTATTGCCGTAAAACGTTGAAGCATCTCATCAACACTGAAAAGTGTCGCCTCATGTTGTGAAAAAATAAATAATTTAAGTGAAATATTCAATTGAACCACACAATAAACTGAGTGTATTTACCAGAAAACCATACAACAGAGTGTTATAACCGGTAAACCATACAACAGTGTTATAACCAGTAAACCATACAACAGTGTTATAACCAGTGGACCATACACCAGTGTTATAACCAGTAAACCATAAACCAGTGTTATAACCAGTGGACCATACACCAGTGTTATAACCAGTGGACCATACACCAGTGTTATAACCAGTAAACCATACAACAGTGTTATAACCAGTAAACCATACAACAGTGTTATAAACAGTAAACCATACACCAGTGTTATAACCAGTAAACCATAAACCAGTGTTATAACCAGTAAACCATAAACCAGTGTTATAACCAGTGGACCATACACCAGTGTTATAACCAGTGGACCATACACCAGTGTTATAACCAGTGGACCATACAACAGTGTTATAACCAGTAAACCATACAACAGTGTTATAACCAGTAAACCATACAACAGTGTTATAACCAGTAAACCATACAACAGTGTTATAACCAGTAAACCATACAACAGTGTTATAACCAGTAAACCATACACCAGTGTTATAACCAGTAAACCATAAACCAGTGTTATAACCAGTGGACCATACACCAGTGTTATAACCAGTGGACCATACACCAGTGTTATAACCAGTGGACCATACAACAGTGTTATAACCAGTGAACCATACAACAGTGTTATAACCAGTGGACCATACACCAGTGTTATAACCAGTGGACCATACACCAGTGTTATAACCAGTGGACCATACACCAGTGTTATAACCAGTGGACCATACACCAGTGTTATAACCAGTGGACCATACACCAGTGTTATAACCAGTGGACCATACAACAGTGTTATAACCAGTGGACCATACACCAGTGTTATAACCAGTGGACCATACACCAGTGTTATAACCAGTGGACCATACACCAGTGTTATAACCAGTGGACCATACAACAGTGTTATAACCAGTGGACCATACACCAGTGTTATAACCAGTGGACCATACACCAGTGTTATAACCAGTGGACCATACACCAGTGTTATAACCAGTGGACCATACAACAGTGTTATAACCAGTGGACCATACACCAGTGTTATAACCAGTGGACCATACACCAGTGTTATAACCAGTGGACCATACACCAGTGTTATAACCAGTGGACCATACACCAGTGTTATAACCAGTGGACCATACACCAGTGTTATAACCAGTGGACCATACACCAGTGTTATAACCAGTGGACCATACACCAGTGTTATAACCAGTGGACCATACACCAGTGTTATAACCAGTGGACCATACACCAGTGTTATAACCAGTGGACCATACACCAGTGTTATAACCAGTGGACCATACACCAGTGTTATAACCAGTGGACCATACAACAGTGTTATAACCAGTGGACCATACACCAGTGTTATAACCAGTGGACCATACACCAGTGTTATAACCAGTGGACCATACACCAGTGTTATAACCAGTGGACCATACACCAGTGTTATAACCAGTGGACCATACACCAGTGTTATAACCAGTGGACCATACACCAGTGTTATAACCAGTGGACCATACACCAGTGTTATAACCAGTGGACCATACACCAGTGTTATAACCAGTGGACCATACACCAGTGTTATAACCAGTGGACCATACACCAGTGTTATAACCAGTGGACCATACACCAGTGTTATAACCAGTGGACCATACACCAGTGTTATAACCAGTGGACCATACACCAGTGTTATAACCAGTGGACCATACACCAGTGTTATAACCAGTGGACCATACACCAGTGTTATAACCAGTGGACCATACACCAGTGTTATAACCAGTGGACCATACACCAGTGTTATAACCAGTGGACCATACACCAGTGTTATAACCAGTGGACCATACACCAGTGTTATAACCAGTGAACCATACACCAGTGTTATAACCAGTGGACCATACAACAGTGTTATAACCAGTGAACCATACACCAGTGTTATAACCAGTGAACTATACAACAAACTTAACAGAGTGTATTTAATAGTTCTTTTCCTGTTACATCTGTAGCATTGAAACAAAAACGCTGGATGTATTTGTTTGAGTTTATTTCTTTTAAAATGATAATATGGTATAAAACAATTCTGGCAATTCATAAAAATCATGTCAATCATTGTTCAAATCACATTACATTGTAATAACAACATTACACAGTAAATAGTCCACATAAAATCACACCCACACTGTAAATACTGTTTTCTGATTAACACTTTGATCTGACAATCATTAATATCACAGGCTTTATGGCATCATTATAATTGACTCAGAAGATGAGACTAGATATATAAGCACTCATTTTCAAAAGGCAAGGATTACAAAGATTCTACATACATGTTATATACATTTTCAAAAATGATTGTCAGCTTGATGTGAAACATAGGAAGACATATTTTAATTTGGCAAGTTTATGATCAATAATACTGATTGACTTTTTAAAACACTTTCTGAATATTGCGTTAAAAGGAAACGAATTTTAGATTTAGACTATTTTTTTACAAGGAACTGAATTCGTGACTGGAACAACAGCTATATCTTGCTTGATTGCTTGTGTTAGAACATATAATCACAAATATTTTTAAACACTTAATAAGAAAGATATATGTTTTTTTATCTTTGGTTTCTTTTACATGAGACAAAACACTTTTAACGAATTCTACCTACTAAGTAACCTGGCCAATTACCTATTTTGGATGTACCTGTATGCCAAACTTGTTCTGACCGATACTGTGTTGTTGATAAACTCATGGGGCTGATATTCCACGTTAGAAACTGCATGGCTGGTCAAAGCTGCATTAAAATTTGCGGAAAACAGAAAAATTGTTTATTTCAGAATAAGAACAAGACTGGAAAATTTGAAAGATGAAATTCATTATATAATAAAACCTTTGTGTTTTGTCTCCATTTTTCGGCAGCAAACATGTAAAAGAATCTACACATTTTATAGGTGCCTACTAATATTCACAGTATTTAAATAATAATCACATTGTATTTAATTTTGCACAATCTTTGATGACCCTGAATATAGAAATAAAAATCTCCGCAAGTAATATTCACTATACAGTACATATAACAACATATAAAATACTGATAAACATATCTTACACAGAGTTAAGTTTTCTGACTAAATAACAAACCGCAGACATAAACAGTATAAAAATACCTAATGCTTCTCATATGGGATTGATTTGTAGACTGATGAAGAAACAGGCTAGAATGGGCATGAGAGTCGTCACTTGATCAGCAACAATTTTTCCATGGACTCGGAAATATGGGTAAGCTTATACATGTACTTAAACAAATGTACCTGGTTTTACAAAATCTACAATTTCAATTTTACTTGACTGGCATATCTTGTTATCA